CTGGGAGCAAAAACACCCCCCAGGAGGCTTCCCTGAGGCCCAGGAGGTTAAAAAACAGGGGAGGGGTGTGCTGATAAAAGAAGAAGCGATGCTTACCCAGTCACATGGCCACGCCCACCCAGGCACGCCCACAGTACCAGTTGTTAAAAAATTTGAATCCTATCCCTGGGTTTTTGTCTTGGGTTTGATGGACAAACTATTGGAAAAATGTCATGGAACGTTGTTTTTGTACATGATAACTGCAGCAAGATTATTATTTACCACAAAGATGAAAAAATTGGCATTACACACAATGGAGGAATAGTTGGTAAAGATGATGGGAGTTGCTGAAATGGCTAAATTGACATTTAATTAGAGAAAAGACATGTTTATTGCTAACTGGAAAACCCTTACGGACATTTTGTGTAAAACAGAAAAAAATTAGCATAATGTATGGTTTTGATGATTAGACAGGGTAGATTATAGGAAGATGAGAGTTATGTTGTAACCATAGAGTAAGTGGTAAATTTATAATTATACTTATAACTGTTGTAAAAAAGATTAGAAACTACTTTTTATATCTTTTTTCTTTATTTTGTATTTTTTTTCTTTCTTGCATTTTAAACTTTCTTTTGATTTCTTTTTCTTACTTTATATTCATTTGTATTAGTTATCTTCCTTTAATGAAATTGAGGGTATGTGGTGTGTTTATGTATGTGTAAAATTCAGTATTATTTTTTCTCCATCTATTACTAAATTTGTAATAATATAATTAAAATTGAACACTTTGAAATGCTGTTGGAATACATTGCAAATGCCAGTATTCCTTTCAGTTAGAGGTCTCTTTTCTCTTTAAGTCATCTCCATACAATACTACTCTCTTAGTTATGCATTTTGGACAAGAAATATTAATTGGCTGGTTTAAAATACTGCTGCTCAAAAAAGAGATGAAGAACACAAAAGGATTTTAAAGTAATTCAGAAAATGCAAGGGTTTTTTAAACTTTAGCAATCTAAATATTGTCCAGCAGATGGCAGAATGGGACAGCATAAAAATTATAAAAGTTAGCTTGTGGGAGATTTCTCTTTCAAACTAAGAACTGTATTTTTTCCTAGAGAAGTTTTCAGCGCCAAATACACTGGAGTACTAATCCACATCAAGCCACATTTATACTCATACCTTCACCCTTCCCCACTTTTTGTATTCTATTTAAAAATAGCTCTCAGGACTTTTCCACTTTGCAGTACTACAATGCCAGGCTGAAATGAAGCTGACTTCAGAAATCCCTGCATTATATACAATATCTATAATCCAGCAATCCAGGCAGAACATCAGGTCATCACTGGGGTCAAAGCAGAATCATGGACTGAAATTAACCAGTCCATGATTCTGCTGTGACCCCAGTGATAACCTGAAGTTCTGTCTGGATTACTGGATTATAAATCAGGATACCAGGTGTTTTAGTCCCCCCTTGGGCATGGAAGTCTGGGTGTCTATTGGCCAGTTGTTTTATCTCATTCTAACCTATGTTATGGGAAAAACTTGTTATGGGAAAAATAGGAGGCAAGAACATTATATATACTGCTTTGAAAGGCAGAGTATACCTACAGAGTATAATTAAACTCTCTTATTGATGGACCTACCATTTCTTTACCAGTACAGGATGGCAGGGGAGGGGAATCGAAAAGTAAACACCACAAGTATTACATTTTTTATGTCCCTTGGGCTGGAAGGAGAAAGTGACTGACTTCTTGTCAATTGAACTTTAAAAGATTAAATTAAACCAGGTTAGGCCAGTCTTCCATTGTTATATCAGTGAATTTGTATATACAGTCATTCTCATTTAGTGACTAACCTTGGTTAGTGATCAATCACATAATAGTGATAGTAGTAGTACAGGATGATGTTGTGCATTTCTGCCCTCTGAAAAAAACTGATCATAAAAATCAGCTCCAAATCATTTCCTGTCTATATAAGATTCAATGGCCTGAGAAGTTAGTAAGAAAAATAAAGCAAAGAATTCCTTAAAAGCAAAATCCTTCTCAAATCCAATATGAACAGCAGAAACAAACCAGTGTATCCCTGCCAAAAATTTTATGAAAATCTGATTTAAAATGACACACACACACACACATACTATATATAGGTAAAGAAAAAAGGTCATCAAACAACACATAGAGGTAGTCCTAATATGCAGAGACGTTGTCAGGAAAGCTCAACTTCAACACGAGTGGAAGGTAATGAAGCATGTGAAGAAAAACTCAAGTGCTCTTTAGATATGTTCAGAATGAAACCAAGAGGAAAAGAAGCAGTATGCTAGCTACTCTGGGACGATGGCAAAAGATAGCAAGTAACAGAGAAAAAGATAACATACCCCACTCCTAGATTGGTTTAGTCTTCTTGGAATGGAGGACGTGTTCTACTTGATAATTTCAAATAGATGATTAAAAAGCAGGATTTGAATCTGAGCTTGACCACAGAATAGTCAGGAAATATTGACTGACCTTGAATGCATTTAGATTTCTAGAGCCAGCTAAAGCATCCTAGCATACTGAATGAATTTCCTGGCTGTTTTCCAAGTTCAAAAATTGACATTAGGTTAGCCTGGTGAGACTTATTCTAAAACAATGACATGTCAACGTCTAGTAACCACTGCATTGTTTTATTTACAGATACTTAAATGTTTTTTTTTCACCTGCTCTTGAATCCTTAATGTCAAAGTGCTTGATTTTTGGTTCTTTGAGAACCATCTTCTTTTTGAAGATGGAAACCTTTATTCTCCTTCAATCAACCAGTATGTCACCCAGGTTATTTTAAAGGTAATGGATAATATTCAAGCTAGACATCAGCAAGTTTCTTCAATATCTTAAAATGCAGGTTTGAATTTGAACCTACTCAGAGTCAGTAGGTATTCTATGTCGTGTCTAGGCTTGAGCTAAAATCTTACTCTTTCATTCAGCTCCTACAGTTATCCAGTGTAATTCAAGTCCTCTTTTCAGAAAAGATGAAGCAAAAAGAAGAGTTCAGCAGTTTTGCCTTTTTTTTTTTTACCTATTATCCTCATACTGTTTTCATAAAACTTCTGATATACTGAAACTTTTCCTTTAATTCCCTTTTTTTTTTAAATTAGCATCCTTTCCCAAGCTTGTGTTGAGATTTAGCTTTCCTGGCACCTTTCATACTTATTAAATTGCTTTTTCTGGTGACCTGTTTCTATTTCCACCTCCCATATATGCTTTTTAAATTTAATAAATACACCAAGCTTTTTGTTTAGTCACAATGGCTCCTTCTGCTGTTTTTCAAAAATTTTCCTTCTCTGGAATTGTTTGTGATTGTGCTTTTAGTTGTAAAATTAACACTATTAACACAAATCTTGCATGGTAGGATTCCCCAAATCTTGTTAGAGTGTCCTTTGAGGAGCTCCTTCCTTAGAAACTCTCACCCATCAGAGCAGAAGGAGCAGAAGGAGGAGTAAAAGGGACTTGTATTAAGGTAAGGGCACTAATAACCTTACAAGGCCTTTGGAGGGGTGGTGGGAATAGAGAGATAAGTTTTGATTGTCATCTTCAGCTGAAAAAAGACTATGCAACACTCTGGGAATAAGTGACTCTGACTCTCATGGCAAACTTTAAAATCACTTTGGCTGATTTATTTCCCTTCTTGAACAATGAAAACCTAAAAGAAATACAGTATTTATCTACTTGTAAAATGTCTCAGTACTATTACCTCAAGCTAAGATACAAAAACATCATGGTTGATGTACTTCTGTAACATCTTAATATCGTTATGCATTAAGCAGCCTAAACAATTTCTATTTACCTTCCAGGTTGCTCAGGGTACTTCTGTTTTGTGTATGCCTCCAGGGTAGCATAAACTTTCTCACGTAGCAATTCTATCTCTGCAGGACTAGACAGGCCTTTGGCATCTGATGCAGTGACAATAAAGGAAAATGAGGGACAAATATTCTAGTCCCTGAAACAACCGTATCCAATTTAAAAAAATAGCAATAGCACTTAGACTTATATACCACTTCATAGTGCTTTACATCCCTCTCTAAGTGGTTTACAGCGTCAGCATATTGCCCCCAACAATTTTGGGTCCTCATTTTACCCACCTCGGAAGGATGGAAGGCTGAGTCAACCTTGAGCCTGGTGAGATTTGATCTGCCAAATTGCAGGCAGCCAGCAGGCAGCAGACATAGCCTGCAGTACTGCACTCTAACCACTGCGCCACCATGGCTCTAATCAGCTGTAATCATTCTTAGGGATGAAAGTGCTGCACCATTTCGGACAAGTATCAGAAACAGTCATATTGATTCTTAAATTGTGTATTATATGAAGAAAATCTAACAATTTTATGAAATATAAATAAACTTTGTTATCTATTTTAAGAAATCTATGAAAAGACATGTAGCATAATGGCCTAGTTACAGTTGCAATTTGAGAAGTTATAACATAGCCAATACTGAATACTGGGACAATCTCAGCATTCCCATTTTCCCTTCTATTTTGTGAAGGATAATCCCTTCTCTTTTTTCTTCTGCAACCTTCCTTTGCTATTCAATTACTCTTCTCCACGTAGCATTCCATTTCTCTTTATCTTTCATACATCTACCCCTATTGTTTCTTGTAGATCATTGCTGCCTCAGTAATGCAGCATGATAATGGCAAACATTGAAAGTCAATTAAAAAGAAAAAAAGAAATCAATTATGAAAAGTCACAAGAAAAAAAAAAATCTCTGCTCCTCAGAATCCAGCATAGTCAATGGCTATATTAGCTGGGTGTAGAGAGGTATAGGAATTTCCGGAGGAAGATGGCAGCCTTCCCAAGATACTTAACCTGGATTGAACAAGACAATGGCTCGCAGACACCCCAGTTCAGATTTGTCCATCTGCATGTCTTTCATTTTGGATACCAACTCAGTAAGAACCCTGCATACAGAGACAAGGAAGAAGGGGAATGAGTGAATCAAATTATATGTATGCATTACTGGTGCTTCTACTGGTTAAGTGGGTCTAGGACAACTCACCACAGCCATTTTGCCATGCCCAACTCACCGTGGGGCAATTCCATGTGGGACAACACAATCCAGTAAATGTTATCCATCACTGTTTCTTTGACATTATTTTCATTTTTGTCCATTTCCACAAAAATGGAAATAATGTCAAAGAAACATGGCAAATAACATTTCTCACATGGAGTTATCCCATGTAGAATTGTCCCACAGTGAGTTGTCTGCAGCGAGTTGTCCTGTGGCGAGTTGGCCACCGCAAGTAGTATGGAATTACAAGGAGGTGGGTTCTTGTTTTTTGGTTTAATGAGCCATCAATTCAACACTATAATCAATTAGAGTCGCACTGCATTTTGTCTATTTTCATGGTTGTGGAAAATCTGAATTTTTTAAACAGGGAAATAGAGTAATCACGCAAATGGATGTTCATACTGTTTTTTATCCTATTTCAAGCTGGGATTTTAATCTAAGCAGTGATAAAAACCCCTGTATGTTTTGGAATGCAGATACCTGCAGAATTATCCATTTCAACTAAACCCCACTCATTCAGTTTGCATGTCCTAGAGGAAGGTGCTCTTGTGAGAAATTTGGGGGAAGGGGGACAAAGCTTCTCTATGGGGTCTCTAATGCTCTGGCTTTCTTGTAGAAATCAGCATGTCACCTTTTCTGCCAGATTTTAGGCTGTTGATGGAAAGAGAACTTTCAAGAGAATTGTTAATGCTTAGATGTTAGAGCTATATGATTCTGGCAATTTTACAGACTGTTGTGTAATTTTTATTCTGTTTGAATATGCTTTATGTGGTACATCACCAGGATTCTATTTTAAACAAATAATTGTATAATAAATAAATAACTGTATCAGTCAACTGATATCACACCTTCATTACTTTGCAATGTCTTTCATATTTTTGTCCCAATTATTTTATATATTTATTCCAAAGGAGAACAATTCTAAAGGAACATGTGAATTAAATCAGGGAAAGCTACAACTTTACAACTGAAGAACTCTTATAAAGTGTTAATCTTTTTATCTGTTTGAGCAACTAGAGGTACAATCATTCCTTCTAATCTCCTGTTGTCTACTATATTTGCAGTGTTGATTCTATATAGATTTCATAAAATATCCTTAGCCTACCATATCAGTTACTTTTTTTAATCCACTCCGCTGATAATTCCTTATGAATCCTTTCTATGGCTTGTACCTTTAGAATATGCCTGTGCATCATGTCTGTATTTCCTCTTTCTTACAATAGACTACCTAGTTAGCTAGGCTACATATGTGGAAACTGAAATGTTCCCATATCTTCTTTAGATCAACACATTCCATTCATCAGAAAAAGGAATTACTATATTTTTCGCACTATAAGATGCACCTGACCATAAAATGCACCTAGGTTTAGAGGAGGAAATCAAGAAAAAAAATATTCTGAACCAGAGCCTGAAAGGACTACAGATCACCAAAGGACTGGCACCATGACTGGCATTTGCTCCATAAGATGCACAGACATTTCTACCCACTTTTGGGGGAAAATAAAGTGGAGTAAAAAATATGGTACTTTTCCTGTATATGACCTCTATTAACCATATCCAATATTATTTGACATTGTCTCATAATGATCATATCACAGAGGAGGGAGACATGCAATTGAGATACGCTCTTATATAGGCAATATGTACATATAATCTTGCAGAAAAAAATAAGATCCTATATTTTTGTTAATAGGGTACAGTTTTAATAAAGTGGCCACTAATATTTTGAAGAGAATTTGAAGAGAAGAGAATTTAACTAGGGTTCTTAAGCTGTGGCTTTTGCCCAAGACTACAGCTGATGGCAGTAAATAGAAAGGATTTAAATTCATTCATACATGCTGTCCCATTCACAAGAGCTGGATCATTTCCACTCATGGACACAGTAAGAAGAAATGGATAGTCAGTAAAAAATGTCAACATCACTTTATTTTTTTTACATTTCCCTTGATCTTTACAGCAAAAAAGCAACAACAAATAATGCTAGAAACCATCCATCTATAAGAAATTGCAGAATAATATGCAAAACAGGGAACTAACAACATGGTATATAATTGGCGTGTAAGCGAGTCCCAAGGCAATTTTGGAAAATCAAAACTTTTTTGAAGGGAACAAAATTAGAACAGAGAACTTTCACAAGTGTCTCCCTGCATAAACACAAGCAGCCTTTCCTTTCTGACAGATCTCAGAAGTACTTATTTAAGCTTTTCTTACTCTGTCATAACTAACCAGAAGTTATCTAAGAAAATGCAAATGCTGGAATTAAGAATAAAAACATACCTGTCAAATATGGAGCCGACTCCAGCGCTGTGTGCACTGCTCCGGTGCACGTGTAAGCCAGTGGCCAGTAATATACCATCCTGTACAGAAACAGAGCGATGGGAAAAAGAAGCAATCAGCAGTTCATTCCAACCTAAAAAAGGAAATAAGAGTGATATATACTTTTTTTTCTTTAAAAAGAATGCTGCTTGATAAACTGGCTGTTAATTTGACTGCACGAATTTATGCTACATTAGAGTATGCAAAGTTTTATTTATTTCATTTCATCCCTGTAACTATTCTCCCTCCCAGAAAGTTCAGTTTGTTTGCAAAAGAACAAGTATTACTGGTATTACTTATAAGCAACAAAGATCAAGAAGATCTTTTTTTTAAAAAGGAACTGAAATAAGTAATAAGGCAAAAGATAATAGCATGGATATTGAAAACCTATTTCTCATTTTGCACATTATTAGAAAATGTTTGCATCTCATGGCATAATCTTTGAAGAGAATTCAAATATATGACTTGCTATTGAATAAATATGTTTCTACACAGGGACACCAGATATTAGTAAACCAGTAAATGTTTAAAAGAAGTTATTTTAAACTTCACAATGCAATTAGAGAAAAATGTGTTTTACTACTTTCCAATACTAAGAAGACAAGCAAACCTACAAACCAACCATCAAAAACCTGTGTGCTGAAAATTTGTTTGAAATAAATTCATTTCCCAGCATAGTCACTGTTTAACTATAAATTATTTGTTTTAAACAGGCCATCGAATTGTTCTTATTTTTATTCTTTTCAATCTCACTTTAAAGAAATGCACAAAGTACAGTCATTTGACTTGATGTGTGATTCTATAGATCAGCACAAGCACCATGACAATATCTCAATATCCATGGGGGTTGTACAATCACATCCAATTGGGGAGATGTTTTTTTTTCCAAGTACAGGTAGTCCTCGACCTATGACCACAATTGAGCCTAACATTTCTGTTGCTAAGTGAGATAGTTGTTTAATGAGTTTTGCCCTGTTTTATTACCTTTCTTGTCACAGTTGCTAAGTGAACCACTGTGATGGTTATTAGTAAGCACTGTTGTTAAATGAATCTAGTTTCTCCATTGCTTGTCTGAAGTTCGCAAAACGTGATCATGACCCTGGTTCACATAAATATGAACCAGTCATAAATATGAACCAGTTGCCAAGAATCCAAATTTTGATCACATGACCACAGGAATGCTGCAATGGTCATATGTGTGAACAATAAATCACATTTTTCAGTGCCATTGTAACTTCGAATGGTCACTGAACCAATGGCTGCCTAGGACTGCCTTTGGTCCATAGAGAATTTAGAGGATTAGATATGAGGTTCACAATATTACTCATAACTGCCCTGGTAGTAACTGCCCCACTACACTCTGGCTGGCAAGATGAAGCACTTCCTTTCAGCCTTGAGACAGGATAAATCCTACCATTCTGCCTTGTTTAGCTCTGAGATTCATTTGCATACACAATTCCAAAAGCCACCGCCTACCTTTTCCTGACAACTTTGGACTTTATTTTAGGAACGCAGCATGAAGTAAGATTCAGAATCCCATCCCTTTGGGATGAGAGAATCTTACCACCAGCTGAAAATGATGACCTCGATGACTGAGAAACTCTACAGACCACCAGCTGAAAAATACTATGTTTAAGCTGAAAACCAGTTACAGAGAAAGTAGGAAGATTGGATTATATGAAAATGTGAGGAAGCTGAACAGCTGCCCAAATTCTGAAGGGCTGGGCATTTCTTCCTTGTCTCTAGCCATATTCTGTCCACATTTTTTCCAAAATGGGAAGATGTCTTATCTTCTGGGAGAACAAAACCAGTGGTGGGATTCATATTTTTTTATTACCGGGTCTGTGTGCGTGGCTTGGTGAGCATGGCAGGGGAAGGATACTGTAAAATCTCCAGTCAGAAGTGGTATTTGCTGGTTCTCCGAACTGCTCAAAATGTCCAGTTCTCTACCGGTTCTCCAGAACTGGTCAGAACCTGCTGAATACCACCTCTGAACAAAACACCTTGCAAAGAGCGATGGCAAAGAGGAAGCCTACAAGTCATTACCTGCTCGAAGGAGGATAACTTGGTCTTCTAATGTCAGGTCTGAGAAGTGTGGAATCCGCTTGGCCCATTCAACCAATGTGAAAAGCTGTTTATCAGCTGCATGGCAAATATTGGTGACAGGATCATTGGTCTAAGGGAGAAACAAGTATATAAGCCAGCAAAAATACCTTGTTTGGGCATTTTTCTATAAGAAAAAAACTTTTAAATCTTTTGTAAGAGTCTATCCATCTTGCCTATCTACCCAAGGACAGTCCAGGGTGATGGAGCAATTCTTGTCTTCAATTGGTAATTTCTGCCCCCTTTACCCCATCTCCTCATCCAGGGAAAGAGAAGAAGAAAGAACAAAATTGCCTTTCTGTCAACTAAAAAGTCTTAAAGGTCAGACTGTGACATGAAATTGGTGGCCAATCAACAGAGCAGAATCTGAAGCAGATTATAAGATACACCTTGGCACCAAAAATGTATGTTTAAAATTGTACTTTGTTTATTAGGGAACAGAACAGCAAAGAGAATCATGGATGAGTTTCTCATGGCTTAGACTAAAAAGGATTGAGGGAGCAACTTTAAATAAGGGTGATCTTGTCTTCCGGTTTGAGCTTCTTCGGCAACAGACTGAAACCATGTCTCTGCGTGGTTTCAATCCGTGCTCGCCGCTGGAGCACCCCGAGACGGCTGGTTTTGGGGCTAAGCCACCCCATAGAGGTGGTGAAGAGGGGGGAGACCACCAGCAGGGTTGAGGAGAACCACATCTCTCCTCCCCAGCTGGCCATTACTCCCTTTCCCGAAGGCGGTTGTAGCGGTGGTCAGAAATGGCCACCACAAAGAAGAACTTGAACGGAAAAGAATGTGCAGGAGGAAGATAAGAAGAGAAAGTTTTGGTTGACCGGGTCAAACAGCAAAAGCAACAAATAAGGTACCCTGGAATTGAAACTATTAAAAAAAAACCAATAACATTGTTCCCTAAGAAGATTTCTAAGCTGTGAAGGAGAGAGAAAAGGGAAAATATTTGATTTTTTTTCTCCTCTTCCTATACTGACAGCTAAGAGACTTAAGCAAGAAATTGGAAAAAACATCCACTTTGACATTAATAGGCATTTAATGCTGAAAATAAAAAGGCAAAGGGATAATAAAGATTTCTGGATAATTAAAAGCTTTTGAAAACAGGAAAGGAGAGAAAAAGAATAAAAGGGCAGGATCTGGAAGGGAGGAGACTGCCTGGAAGTAAAAAGAACTTACAGCAAAATCTCAACAAGACTTCCAAAAGATACATTTTAACTGAAACATTGCAACAAAATAGTAAAACCCCAGGAAGAGAAAGTGAAAAAACAAATAAGAAGAAACAGCTTGGGACTATTTGGATTACTTGGTGATCTCTGGATTCTTGGTTATTATATTTGAATGAGTAAAATCAATCAGGTGGTTGTTTAAAACTGTTTAAAATGGCCCCACTTTTAGAAGAACTGAAAACGGAACTTAAAAAGTACAAGGAAGATGCACAAGAAGGGAGAGGTTCTTTTGGCTTCGTATTTCAGTTTTTAGAAATGGTGATTTGGAACTATGAGAAACAACAAGAAATGCCTGCAGAACAAGAAGATTGGGACAAAGAAGAAGCCATCTTTAATGAACAAGTAATCTTAGGTGGGGGAAAAAAAGGAAAGGGGGGAAAGAGAATGGAAAGTTTAAGATTGGGAAAAACAACCCCCCAAAAGAATAGACTGAAAAATAAGTATAAAATCAGAAAGCAACAGAAGAGGGAAATGCAGAAGAGAGAATTAAAAGTAGAGAGACAAGGGGGTAAAAAGGGGAGGGAGAAGAAGAGAGGGAAGAAAGAAAGGAAAAGAAGTTATAAAGGACAGGAACAAAATATAGAGAAACAGGGCCTATTTAGAGATAATGGGTGAAAATATAATGGAAAAAGGGATTCTGCAAAGGTGCATAAGATAGTATTGTTATATTAGAAATAATTTCAGAAAATATGAAACAATGTATGATTAAAATGTTTGATAAAATAGTTATTGTAACTAAGTGGAATGCTTGCCAATAAATAAATGTGACAAAATGAATATTTAATGATTTACAAAACATATGTGAAGAGAAATAAGGGAAAAATTAATTATGGAGATTAGATATGTCTTTAAGGAAGTATGATATTAAATTGAAAAGAAATGTTAAAGATGTTAAGACTTTAATGATTATTAATGATAGAACTGAATTGGAATGGAATGAGGGTTTATAATTACATACATTTATAATCCTTTTTTTAAAGAATATAGTGTGTATTATAAGAATGTACCAAGCAGAATTCCATTGGAAGTTATGTATTATGTATTATATTGAAGGTCATAACCTTAAGGTATATATTGAAGTTTAAATAAGAGTTGGATGGATGTAATTAAAAGATATAAAGGTGTCATACTCCAATTAGTAACTACAGGAGAAAATTTGTTTAATGAGAAAAGATAATATGAAATTGAAACAGAACAGACGAAAGTATAAATATAATGATTTGAACTGAGATGAGATAATCAAAATAAAATTGAGAAAATTAAAAGAGGGGGAAAAACTATATAGAAAATGTAGAATAGTATAAGATATGGAATAGAACACAAAAATGTGCATGAAATTGAGTTTGTGTCTGTATAAAGAAGTTCAACCCGGGACCATGCTATTTTAAAAAAAGATGTTTTACTTGTATTTTGTGTGTGTGAAAACCCAAACAAAACTTTATTAAAAAATAAATAAATAAGGGTGATCTTTCCAAAATGCAGAACTAGTCTCAAGGAACTAGCTTGTAAGGTTTGAGTAAGAACTGAAGCAGATCCAATCCATAGTCATACCCCATATCAAGCAAATGTGCATCTTAAGAATCTGAAACATTGCCCAAATGCCAGGCTTGCACATTGTAGGGACAGCAGCCCAGGCCATGAATGTTGGGCATCTTTCTTCCATTTCATCCTAGGAGACCAGCCCAAGACAGCTTGGTTCGAAGCAAGGAACTCTCCCATTGAGCAGGATGGGGGATGACCTCTGTGAATTGAACTACTGCCCTTTTGCCTGTGCTTGTTCACAGAATTCTTTGGCAGCTAACAGATCAAAATTAAGCTGAACTCTCATTTTTCTTCTGTTTTCTGGCTTTGGGGAGGGGAGGGGAGGAGAGGAGCAGAAGTTAAGGTTTAATGATGTTGGAAGCCCAACCCACCTCACAGGAAAATAGGAGGATGAAGTCTCTCTGTGCTACTTATAAAAATAATGAAGTCAGGAAATAAATAAATCGGAAACTATTTGCATATGCATATGAACATTCCTGAGATTGGGAATTTAACCCAAGTAATATTAGTAAAGCAAAAACATTTTATTTAAAGTAAATACACTCCAGAAATTTAACACTTAGCTAAATACAATGTATCAGGAGGAAATCCAAACAACATATGCTCACTGTGTGCATGTCTGGAAAAAGAGGCAGAACAAGCAACTTCAGATTAGTACTTTCTTAGACAAGGAGAAACCAAAATGGACAGATTTTTTTGTCCTAACTTTCAAGTTTCTGCTTGTGTGTGTCATAAAAAGACCCCAGGTGTCTATCATTACCAGTTGTTAAAAACATTTTAGATTATGAACCTATAGTGCACTTGCCAAAGAGCTCATTTTTCTGAGTGTGCACTAACTCATGTGTTTGTATTCAGGATATTCAATGTTACTCACATTACTCACAGTTACTCACAGCCTAAGGAACAGCACAGAAATGAATCTCACCTACCGAGGTTTCTGCACTCACATCACCATATGATTCAGACTTTGGTTCAACTGCCATTTCAGCTGCTAAAATCCTTTCCACAGGCATATCCTCAAGACTCCCACCATTGCTGCTTGTAGATTCCACTTCATTCTCACTCCGCTCTCTGCTTCTTTGCCTCTCTTCTTGAACCGCTTAGCGCACAAAAAAAGATCCACAAGAATTTTGACACACTCCACTCTGTGTCCCAAAATGTTATCCTATAATTATACTGTGACTTTCTTACATTTTCTCTGACTCCCACCCATCAGCAGGGTGCTTAAGTTCAGGACAGGGTTTTCTCCTTCCTTAGATTCTTTTCTATGTTCAGTTATTCTAGTAAGACTTTCCTAAGCAATGACTGTGCAGATTTTTTTTTCCTGCCTAAATGCAGGACCTTACTTTTCTCAACACTGAATTGCATTTTGTTGGCTAGGCCCCAATATCCAAATCTGTCAAGATTCTTCTGAATATTGAGTCTAGCTTCCAAAGTTTTAGCTATTCTCCCCAGCTTGGTGTCATTTGCAAATTTGATGAGTTCCCCTTTTATTCCCCCATCTAGATCATTTATGAAGTATCAAGTTTGAAAAATGCTTAAGCTTCTTGAGACTATTACTGCTTTTCAACTTGCCAAAAAACTGGGGGGAGGGAAGGGCGAGATGAAATGTGGAGGCTAAAATCTTCAACTGTGAGAGTCAAGGACACTTCTGCAAGTGTCAGCCAAGACATGGACTGTTATCAAAACAAAAGGCTGATTCTTAATTGGACAATGTAACCAGTTCTGTGGGAGGAGGGGATGAAACTCATTTTTAACTATTCAGGGTTGCGTGGGAAAATTTAGAGTTGGTTTGGCTTTCTTCAGTGCTGAAATGATGTACTCAATAAAGTCTTGCTTTGGGGGTTTTAAAATTCCTGAAGATACCTGCTTTTATTGGGTCAGTTAGTCATACGGTTGACAGGAAGATGGTGAAGAGTACCAGGCCAAGGACAGAATGTTGAGGTACTCTACTAAATCCTTCCCTCTATGTAAATGTAGTTCTGTTCAGGGCTACACATTGAGTATGGTTTGTTAGCCAGTTACAAATCCATTGATGGTGATGCTATCTATACCAGTGGTCGCCAACCGGTGAGCCGTGAGAAAATTTTGGTGGACCTCAGAGAAATGTCACCCCCAGAGCACCGCCCCCAAAGCAATTAATCCAGGCTGCACAGAAACACAAGGCTGCGCCACCCACATGGCCCCTGGGAACCCTCCCTGCCCACTCACTCCTTACTCAGTAAACTTGCCTGCTAAATTTCTGTTTTTTCTTTTTCCGACCATCAGGTGTTCTGCTGTGCCAGGAGATTTAGATTAGCTAGAAAGCAGGAAATGGTTGGATTTCTTTCTTTCTAATTAGGCTTTAGATCTTCGGCTCTGCTTTAAAATACAGCCGAACCTCCCTTAGGACTGAAGGTTCTGTTATTCAGTGCAGACTCATGGCAAGCAAATTTGAGAGACTGAGCTAGCCGATGGCAGATAGATAGATCACTGAATGATTCTGTGAGCAACTCAACCTGCCTGCCTGCTTTGCCTGATTTTGGATAAAAGTTGTTCTTTTCTTAATAAAAAAATTCAATATTTACATACATGGTGTGTTGTGAGTTAATTTAGTGAGTTTGCTTGCAAGCAAATTTTATGTGACAGACTGAGCTAGCCAATGGCAGATAGATAGATTTCTGAATGAATCTGTGATTCTGTGAGCAACTCAATCTGCCTGCCTGCTTTGCCTGATTTTGGGTAACAGTTGCTCTTTTTTTATAAAAAATTCAATGTTTATATAAATAGTTATAATATTTACATACAAGCCATGCCCAGCTAGTCATATGACCACCAAGTCACACCCACAAATTAGGCCACACCCACAGAAATAGTTAGTGGTCCCTGGGATCTAAAATTATGAATTTGGTGGTCCCTGAGGTCCAAAAGGTTGGTGACCCCTGATCTATACCATATTTTTCTAACTTACCAAGAAGTAGGTTGTATTCTAGTTCTGTTCTAGTTATAAGCATCTTTTTGTTAATGGTGGTTTGTTCTTTGGGCTTGCTGTTTGGCATCCAAATGTTTCATTGCCAGGCTAGGCAACATCTTCAGTGGGATTTTGGCTGAAGAGTCCTGTCTCAATTTCCCTTTGCTTTTATCTATCCTGAGTGGTGATGTGGTTGGTTGGTCACATGACTGGATGGTCATGTCATGTGAAGGTCACCAAGTGAGGAGGTGGTTGGTGCTGTAATTGGTTAGTTGTCCAATTAATCTGGCTCCTAGGCTGATTCCAGATTAATATATTTGTTGAGTGGCCTATTTGTTGAATACCAGGCTTTGACAATTTGCGTGCATGGCATGTGGTGGCATGGCCAATGATTTTTGTTCCATCCCAGTTGAATTGGTGTTGCTTGGTGTCACTTTGGGTCAAGATCAGGGATTTGCAGTCATGCCGGTTGGCTGCTAGTCAGGATTCTTGTTTTTAGTTGTCATCCTGTTTGTCCAACATAGATGGTCATAGCTGTTGCATTTGATCTTGTGGATTATGTTGCTATTCCCTTCCTTCAGTCCTTGGTTTTCTTCCTTTCTTGTCCTTGGTTCTGTACAGCTCTTGTTGGAATGTTGATGTTGGTTTGTGAGCCATTATTATTCCCAATGGTTGTAGAATTCTGACCAGATATTGCTTTTCCATGGAATTCTTCTTAACCTCCTTCTTAGTTTTTTGAGTTGATTCTGCTTGCTGCAGGGTGTCTCCTAGTTGATGTCAGGGTAGTTAAAGTCCCCCCACAGTAATATGTTTTCTGCACACCTTATTTAACTGATCAGCAAAACATTCATCTATTTCCTCTGCTGGGTTAGGTGGCCTGTTCTATACACCTGCTATAACCCACTCCCTCCCCCACCCTCTCTCTCCTTGAGGAAGTGACAGTTTAGGAAAAAACCCACATCAATTTAATACTTGGAAAATCTCTTTATAACTAGTGCCCTGTTTGGATAGAGTTTTAATTTATGAATTGCATCTTGTTTTCTTTCACTTACTGTGACTGCCACAGTCGCACTTCAGAACACATTCTCCTATATTCTTCAAAATGGCAGATCATCAAACGTACAGAGTAAACTGCATAGCAGTGGCCTGACTTTCAGCTGTTGGAGAATTGATTCATCTATTCCAGACGAAGAACAAAAACAATGGGGCTATGTTTCTTCTGATGTAATTAAGGATGGTTTGTGTATGCATATCTTAGTAAAGTATATACTAAGTATATACTTAGTATATACCATATGTTCATATATGTGTATGAATGTGTATATCTTAGTAACATACCTTCTCTTTTCATGCCTGTTGCTAGACATTTCTGATAGCGGCAATACTGGCAACGGTTTCGCTGACGCTTGTCGATCAGACAGTCTTTATTATCTCGACATGTGTAGACAAGGTCCTTTCTTACTGTCCGCTTAAAGAATCCTTTGCAGCCTTCACAACTGTACACCCCATAGTGCTTCCCTAACAATACAGCAACATACATCAGCACATTCCAATTGGGATATATTTAAACGTTTTCTGCACTTTTGAGTTGGGACATTCAAATTATATGTGACAGAACCACTCAATATGCCTGAGAAGTCTAAGAAAACTGTATAGGAAACAGACCAGACTGTGATACAGAATACTGTGAAGAACCCAGATGTGGATCAGAATAGCAGCCAACCAGGGAAAGGGGTGTAATTACATGAGGCATGGGTGTTTTACCACTGCAAGAGTGGTTAATCCCTCTCATCAGCTCATAAAAGCTGAAAATTTGGCCCCAAATAAAACAATAGTCCAATGTTCTCAAAAGCTATACATTAAAAATGATTTTGACCTGAACGAAGAAACAAAGAGATACTTCCTGCATGACCAACTGAAAGTGCTATACAGAGGGAAGAATCCTGAGGCACTATTATATCATAATAGTTATTTAATACTTCCCAGACAGTCCCCTTGACATGCAAGCTGTGGGTACCTGATGATCTGTCTCCACAAATTGCGCAGACATGCTTTGTCAGGGATCCTGGACTTGGGGATGAATAATTCATTGCTCCCATCTGTTGGAAATTTGGCAAAGGCTTTGTATCTTCAGAGGTTCCAGCACCATTCACGATACTGGACTAAAAGGGAGAAAAAAGCAAAATGGGTTACACAACCTCAGATTGATCTGTGATCCAATATTCAGGACAGGACAGAAGAAATTGTCTTCTGTTGGTATTTCCATATGAGAGCAGAACATGTGAGCATCATACTTTCTGTGATCAAGCAGACTCCATTCACAAAGTATTTGTTAACATAAGTTTAGAAAATAACCACCATAACCCGGCAACTCACGGAACAATGTGGGATTGAAAGGGGTGGGACAGGGGGCAAAAGAAAAGAAGTATATTATTTTTTTGCTGATTCATATAAATCCTAAATGTGTCTGTGTGATAATAGAACACAGGGGCAGGGGTTGCTTGGTTCTGCCAGATTTTAGTAACACTGATATGACATGATATATATTCTAAAAATCCAGACAAATAAACATGAATAAGACCAGAGAGTTTTTATTTGTCCCAGAAAGAGGTTGAACAACTGGTTCTGTGGTGCAGCTGTAACATTCTGGAGCTAAACATGTTTAAAACAGTAAAGATGAGAGTGGATTTTAAGAGGACCTCTTCTATTCTACTACCTCTTACCATATTAGATAGCACAGGATCAGCAACAGAGTTCTTCAAATTTTTGGGTTCTATAATCTCCCAGGACTTGAAATGGACACTTAACATTAAAACCATAATTAAAAAGGCACAACAAAGAATGCTCTTCCTACATCAACTCAGGAAGTTCATACTGCCCCTGTTATGTGGCAGGGGCCTATCAGTGGTGGGATTCAGTTTTTTTTTTACTACCGGTTCTGTGGGCGTGGCTTGGTGGGCGTGGCAGGAGAAGGATACTGTAAAATCTCCAGTCAGAGGTGGTATTTGCAAGTTTTTCCAAACTACTCAAAATTTCCGCTACCGGTTCTCCAGAACTAGTCAGAACCTGCTGAATACCACCTCTGGTGCCTATCTGTTTGAATTCTAAACTCACAGAGCAATTTAACTTCTTCATTTTCTATGACTTTATTTTATGGTCCCACCAATTCTTGCTTTCAGGCAAATGATATTTCTTGTAGATTTTCCATTGCATCGTTGTTGCTACTTTGTCATGCTTCTGCTTGTAGTCAGTCTGTACCATCTTCTTGCAACACTTTACCAGGTGGTCCACTGTTTCTTTAGCTTCTTTGCATAGGCAGCACTTACTGTCTGTTACTGTCTTCTCAATTCTGGTTTTGTATGCATTTGTCCTTAAGGCTTGGTCTTGTGCAGCCAGAATTAGTCCTTCGGTCTCTTTCTTTAACTTTCCTGCTCTTAAACATTGCCAGGTCTTGTTATTTAATACTTCCCAGACAGTCCCCTTGACATGCAAGCTGTGGGTACCTGATGATCTGTCTCTAACCTCTCTCAGGCTCTCACCATTGACCTGCAACTGCCATCGATCTTTGCTATTTGATTATCTAGTCATGTGGCAGAGAGTTGAATGCCTTTTTGTAGTCAATCCAAGCTACATTCAGGTTGGTCTTCCTTCTCTTGCAGTTTTCCAAAGTCATTTTGTCAATTAGGAGTTGATCTTTTGTTCCTCTGCTATTGGGGCAGTTTCCTTTCTGCTCAGGTGGAAAGAGATTGTTTTCAACTAGATACTGTTGGACTGCATCAGCTACTACACCGGTTAATAATTTGAAAGTTGTTGGTAAGCAGTTAATTGGCCTGTAGTTGCCTGGTGCTGTCCCTTTTGCTGGATCTTTCATTATCAGGTAGGTTCTGCCAGATATAAGCCACTCTTCAACTTCACCTCATTGTAGTACGTTGTTACATTGTTTGGTAATGAATGGATATAGACCTGTTAGATGTTTCAAGCAAAAAACATGCAGTTCATCTTCACCTAGTGCTGACCAATTCTTGATCTTCCTTTCTCTTTTCTGTACCATTTCGGCTGTTATTACTAGTTCTTTCATTTCAACTTCTTTTTTATTCTTATCCACATATTTTAACCAAGCTGCATATTTCTTTGAGTTATCCCATATTTGCACCCAGAACTGCACTGTTTCTTCCATATCAGGTACTGACTGATTCACTACAGTTTCTCCATTGATGGATTGGTAGAAACGTTTCTGATTGGATTGAAATTGGAGGTTCTGCCTATAATTTCAATTTAAATTTTGTATCTGCTTATCTTCTTGGCTATTGCTGTTATTTGCTGTTTTATTATTTCCAGTGCTTCCTTGTTTCTCAGAGGTATTTCTTGGTTAGGTATTCTTTAGTCTTCTTGTTCTTCAGCTTCCTTTCTTTCATCTGTTCTACCTTGTTTGCATCTGATCTCAACTTGCTGTTCTTATTTTCCAGTGTAATCTTCCATTTTTGTGGTGCAATGTTTGGTTTTTTTTTCTTCTCTGTTGATTTTGCATCCAAGATATTCAGTTATAACTACAACGTACTATACATTAATTGGTTTGTTTCATTCAGTGAGTTGGTGTTTAGACTTGGTATTGCAGTATTTGCATCTTTTAATTTCTCCTTATTTCTAAGTTGGATCTTTTTATGAGAAGCTTCCACACATGCAGAAGGTAGACTGTTTTGACAGTGTGCAGATCTTACCTTCCCAATTAATTGTAATTCTTTAGATACAAGAATTATAATTATATTGAGTCAAATTACAAGCATTATAATAATTAAATGTATTTATATTTAAATAAAATCTTGGTAACTGAAACTTTTACCCATTATTTCTGGTCCAACTTTCTTTGGCAGTGGAAAATAGTTTCTGACCATGTGACCATGACACAGTAGTGATTGGTCTCATTCGAGACAATGACGAATCTGCATACAGACAGGAGGTTATATAACTTGCCTCATGGTGTAGAAATGGAAAAATATAATAGCTAATGATTGAAATTAGCAAATTTAATAAAAGTACTACTGTATATTCAACAAAGAAAGTTAAAGTTAAGGAAGGAGTGGACAGTGAAAAAGGCTCAAGTGTACCACCTGATGGTACAGGAAAACTTCCATGATTTTTTTTTTTTAAGTGTTTGGTCTTTCTAAGAAATTAGACCTTGGAACTTAAAAGAAAGTAAAAGAAACTCCATTATAAAAAATAAAAACCCTGGAAAGTGACATTAGAATACTACAAAGGGGAAGATATTTGAAAATATTGGCATAGAACCACCCAGTGAGTGTGGGAAACAGTTGGCAAAGGGGCACTTGAAAATTTGGAACAAAGATTTAAGGACATTGATTGTTGAAAATAAACTTAAAAGATACTGGCTGAAATAATGTACTGGACTTGGGGACTGAATACATCAATTAGGGAAGAGGAAAAGAAAAAAGGAGAAGATACAATGGAGGAATTATTTGTTGAAATGAGAACGGACTTGCAAGACATAAGGGAAATGATGAAAACTAGATTTGAAATGTGTAATTATGTATTACAGAAATTAGAAATGGTGACCCAGCATGTAGAAGAAGAATGCAAACCAGAAGGAGAGGAGTTTAACAAAGAAGAAGCCAGCTTTGAAGAAGAAAAGGGATCAACAATTACTTAAGCAGGGGTGGAAAGGAATTAAAATTAAAAATGTGATTAAAAATCTGATGTGATAATAAAAGGGAAAATGGTTTGGAAAATGGAAAAAAAGGGGAGGAAAAAAGCTGATAAGGGAATTTCAAAAGAAAAATCAAAAGAGGGAGGGAGAAAAAGTTAATAATTGGAGTGAGAAATGGAGAGGAATAAGAATGGGGGAAAGGGTAATTAAAAGAAAGGACCAGAAAATAAAAAGAAACAGGAAGCAAACGAAGATGAAAAGGAACTACAGTATATTGTTAAAAGAGCGAGAGACAATGGATGAAATTTAAAAAAGAGAATAGGAAAGAGATTCTGCAAGGTAATAAGGTGTGATATAAATGATTAAGTATAGAAAATAGATAAGTATGTAACTGATGTGATTTTTTTCCTTTTAGTTTCTTTCTTTTTTTGTTTCTCTTTCTTGTTATTAAAGAATTATTGCTATACTAGACATGGAATTTAATGAAATAAATATGGAATTGGGAATTTATAACAAAAATATCATATGTAGATGATTAACAATGTATAAGAAAATGGGGGAAAGATGAAATGAGAACTATTATGGAAGGTGTCAGATCCGTGTATCTGTCATTTCTTCAGTGGAAGAAGAAAAGGTGGGGGGAGACTGATAAAGAAATCCTTTCTTGATGTAACCTGAATATATTTAATCTTATATCGAATTTGTATAACCCACACATGATACAATGGAGGGAGAAAAGCCAGATGGCCAGAACCTATCACCTCTGAGAGGCACAGCCAGGAGGTGGGAAGACCATAAAAATTCCACAGTGAGATGTGTCCTGGAAATCTCTGGAAAAGTTCGTTCTAAAAAGGGAGTGGGGGGAAATTAGGTATGCCCTGGGAAACAGTGAAAAAGATCGTTTCTACAGAAAGGGCAGGGGGAATTGACATACTGGGTTTTGTTTCACTAAATACACATCGAGATAAGGGGAGAGGTTCTAAACTCCCTTATCTATCCCTGTATGCCTGAGGGACCTTAGAAGCTGCTTTGAACTCCTACATGAATTGTCTCATTTCAATAAAGGACTCCTTTTGATAAGTTTGGTTTTCAGAAGTTCATTCTTGTTAATTGAATGGGAAAGTTCTGTAGCCTGACAGAAGGATTGATATCAGTTGCTATAATTAATTGATTAGACTAATATTTTTGTAATGCATAGATGATTGATAAGGTGATTGAGAAAATGTAATGCAGAATCTGACAAAAAAAGTAGATTTTATATATGTGTGTGTGTGTGTGTGTGTGTGTGTTATAGTAATTAGGGAGATGGTATTAAGGTAGACTGAAGGTGGCTGGTTTGAATTAATAATCAGAGGGGACAATTTTGAATTAAACTAAGGATTGATAAAATTGCAAATATGACAGATAAAGGTAATTTGGGAAATGAATATAGAAATGAGATGAGAATTTTAAATAACATTGTAAAATAAGATATGGGAATAGTCTAACAAGTGAAATAAGTTATAATATGAATTGGAATTGGATAAGTTTAATACTTAATACTAATGAGGTTAATGTGATAGGAAATTGAACAAACACAATGACTAGGTAAATATGGTCATGTTTGTATTGTATTGAAACCTGGAACCATACTGCTTGCCAAATGAGATTTTTTTTATTTAAAAAAAATGAGGAGGAAATTGAATAATGAAATCATTAGGTATATCTAACTGATATGATGGTTGGCATTAGGAGAGAGTACTGAAATGTTGAAAATAAGCAAGGAAGGATTTTGACTTAATATGAATGTGGATATTAAGAGATTATTAAGCTTGCTTATACTAAAATGTATGATATGTTGATGCCACACAGTTAATGTATTGTTGTGTATGTGTAGATTGAAATAAAAAACTTTTATTTAAAAAAAGAATTGGAATTTCTAGATCACTGAGGTTGGCAGCAGCCCCAATCTTCTGCATGTGACTATGGTATGTTCCATACCCTGTACACACTTTCCTATCAACAGTGGTGGAACTAGGGGTTCCTTCCATTTTCTATCTGCTTCTTTTAAATAAAGGAATATTTAAAAAAAAAGATAGGGTTGAGGAAAAACTGTACTATCCTTCTGACATGGAAACAGAGATTTATTCTGTCTATTAATTAAGCAAGTTAACTTGCTTGCAATCAGTCTGACTGATGGCAGAAAAGTGGAGGAGACCAGAAGATGGCAGAGCAGCACCACTAGTAGGAACTTGCATTCCATACCTTCCCTCAGGCTCTCTGGCAGTGAGTAGGGCAGTAGTAGCTCCTTGTGGACTGGTTCTATTTGCTTTGAGTAGAGGAGGAAGAGCTCTACATTTCCTCCATCCCAGAAAGAAGCTCAGTATAATCCATCCCTGACTGGCAGCTTCTTCTGGTTGTTGTTTTTTGAAATGTAACTAAATTAAGGCCCTTTCATATAAACAATTTCATAGAAAGTGGCTTTGGACCTCTATGATTTCACAACATTGGCAGAGCTGATTTATTTCCTTCTCAACTGTCTTATATTTCAAATTATAACAAATTATAACAAACTAGTCTTTCTTTGAAAGGCTGGACTCTATGTAAGCAATCAATTTCCTTCTTTGCAGAAACTCTTTCAGAGAAAAGTTAGCTTCATAGCTTTGTAGTATTTTCCTTCTCTAAGTCCAAAGGCAGTATGGAGCAGGACAGTAATTCTTTCACTGGCAAAAGAAAAATGGCATTTATTACACCCTAAATAGTTTTGAAGGCTTGAGTGTAGAAACTATGGTAGTGTGTTTCCTTAGGACATCAGGTGTCATATATATACATAGCAGATGAGAGATACAGAACTACTCTGTATGGCAACAAGGAGAAAGCCACTGAAGCACTTTTAAACATTATTGCAAATGATCAATATAATATGCCTGTAAATATATAAACTAATCTTCCTTAAAGAGGAACTTTTTATTGAGAGAGAAAGAATATAATTGACCAGCCTCAATATGTGAAAAATCAAGACAGAGATAGAAAATTTTAAATAGCTACTAACTGAATCTATTTTAGTTGACTATGGACTCCTGCTTTCTTTTTGCACTAATTTTAGGATGCATTTCAATACTTTTAAAAAGAAAGAAGAGGAGGCTCAATTTTGTTCCACTTATATTGTATTTCCAAATTCTAATATATAGGGTGTTGGTGTTTCCTTAAAAAAATATTGGTTCCTGCATGCTAAGTTCAATGATATATGACATTTGGGACAGCAGCTTGAATCCAAATCCATTAGCTGGCTGCTTGCTAATCCCTTAGGACCAGCTGCCTCATCCCATTAGCAGAAAAGCAAATGTAGCACACTTCTTTGAACTTACTCAACACGACAGCTTGGCATTACAATCTTGTTCTGAAAGCCATTTCATGACAACTAGGAGGACGTAAATTTGGTAAACAGAATTGGGGTTGTTTTTGTTTGACTGAGTATCTTCCACACACAAGTGATCCAGCACTGGGAAGAACAGGACCAAGAAAAATGAATATATGCTATGCTATCAAAACAGCATAAAAATAAGTTATGTCAATGCTAGAAAGAACCACCTCAGGGAAGGGCTCTTAATTTTTGTCAGAAGAGTTCTGTTGAGATAAGTTCCCTTAGGAAGCTGCATTTTAATTCAACAGGGTTTCTGAAACTGAACGAAAATAAAAATATATTGACTAATCATTTTCTTTTCCCTTAAAAAAACTTCATTCAACTTCTGCCTGTGGTTGAATTATCACCAATCATTTGATTACACATTACAAAAATTTGCATTGCATCATTGGTGAATATTTATTTTTAGTTACATTTACAATTTTTACTTTTCTCTTCCTCAGGGTGGGCGGGCAGGGGAAGGACAATAGATACTCAGAAGACAAAAATGAATGTTCCATAGGTCAGAAGTACGCAGTCTACATTTATTTATTTATTCAATTTCTGTAGCTCAACCAGGTAACTCTGAGTGGCTTAGAATTCTAAAATTAAATTTTTAAATTTAAACAATTTAAAAAGCACTAAAACAATAAATATATATATAAAATAAATAAGTACAAACAGCAGTCAGGATGATTAATCAACTAATAGTAAAGCCTGTTACTTGGCTCTATGATTAATTGATTAATCAACTAATATTAGTTTAGCCCAAGATCTTAGCTGAATCTCTGTTTACAAAAATAATTTTATTGTGAGCTACATAAGAGAAGGTAACATATAAATTAATCCAGAGAAGTAAATAAGTAAATTAATTAACTATGTGCCTATTAGCATGCAAAAGGTAACTTCAAAAAATAAAACCTTTGAGTGAGGATAGTTAAAGAATAGTTCCACTCTTTTCCTACTTATCATTTCTCCTTTTTTATTGCACAAAATGTTGAGAAATCAATTATCCTTTAGAAAACACATTCCTTAGAAATAAAAGGTAATTTTCAGCAGAAAGATGCAGGAATGGACACTGATTTGACCCACTCTATACTCTATGAGTCTTCAACCAAATTGTTCTACAAAGCAACTATTAGGATATTGCTACATGGAATCCCATAAAAGATTAAATGCCACCTCAGGCTTTAAAGCTGGGGGACTTCAGGTGGCCTAAAGGACAGAAAAAATCTGGTCTTCAGTGGCAGAAGCAGTTACATAGAATTGACTGGATTGTCAGTTGGGAAGTCAGATTTATTTAACAATTGCATAATTCACTTAACAACTGCAGTTAACAACTATGACAAAAGAGGTCATAAAATGGGGCATAACTCACTTAAGAACCGCTTTGATTAGCAACAGAAATGTTGGGCTCAGTTGTTGTCATATGTTGAAGACTACCTGTATAGCTAGACATTGTTTCCCATGGCCAGTCGGGATCAGGAAACAGACCATTTGGCATAGTTGAGAGTGTCACAACTTTTGATCTTAACCCTTGGTCCCCATTCTGAAAAGCATCTGTATTCCTAGTTATTTTTTGTCATTCAACACCTGTGAAAGAAATGCCTTTAAAAATTAAGAGCCTTGATAAATAGTGGGTAAGAAAAAGACAGAACCTGTATTCCAGTATAAAAGCTTCTTTAACTGCTATTGCTATTTTTTATTTCCAGACTGTATAACTTTGTATTGATGTAACCTATAGAAATATAAGCACAAGGCAGGCTTTAATCTAGAACAGAAAAAGAACATTTACATCTTTATTTTAGAAAAAGGAAAGAACTCATAGATAGAAATAACTCCACACATGGATTAAATTTATGTTGAAGATATGAAATAATAAAAATGCTGATTTTATTATACTAAACAGAAATTATGAGAGTTGGTGCCTACCTGTGGGCTGCTATGCACAGCAAAACTCATGTCTGGTGGAGAAGTCAAAGGAACAGCATGGGATGCAATGGGGCTCGTGATTCTCCTAAGTGGACAGCCTGTTGTACTGCTGGACCCTATGGAGTTTGTGGGGATGGACAGAATCTCTGATGCACCAAGAGATGCTTCCAGATAGTTGGATTTGCTGTTTATAACAGAGTTCCCGTTTGGTGGCAGATTTCCACGTACAGACCTGGTATGAACTGGGAAACCTGAAAGAAGAAAGAAAGAGGGTAACTCACAGGGAAGACGAGAGCATATTTCCCATATAAAATGTTCTCTCATTCCTTAAGTAGGGATAAGTTCATGAGCAGAAGTATAGGGTTTAGTTTCCTTTTGGGAAAAAATAGGATGCTGGAGACTTCTGTCACCCTTGTCTCTTCCGGGCAACCTCTCGTGTGCCATTTCTGGCACGCACGCCATAGGTTCACCATCACGGATATATAGTATCTTCTTTGCTGACCTAATAAAACTTTTTTTAAAGTAAGCCTTCTGTGCTATTTACATTCCATCTAGTACTAAGCTAAAGAATTAGGTAAGGCTCTCAGGGAAGGCATGGTGGTTATATCTTCTGTTGCTCATGCTTGCTGGAAGAACTTAAGAGAGAAGGAAAAACAGATGAAGACATAGAACATAGTCTTTCCATGTGCGAAATTAAACCTGCCTAGACTCCAGAGTCCATTGACTCTGACAAATGTTTTTAACGTGATTTAGCAAGCTGAGCCTTTCTTACCTTTTCTTATACATATTCTCTTTAAATCAGATTTGACTCTTATCTCCAGTAAAAACACAATCAAAGGAACAATTCCTACAGTAGATTAATAGGTGGGTAGGACAGAAAGAGAGATGAATGTGCCCAATTTGACTTGTATTTATTCACCAGGAAAAGAATCAGGCCAGGTCTAACCTTCCTGTTAAGCGTCTTTGGGGGGATAAATTCAATGAAATAATTGTGCACTGTTTCATGTTAAGATGCAGTGAATTAATCCTTTCTATGTTCTTTAGGATATCAGATAAAAATCCTCCAAATAACTTCTTAGTTGTCCTTAATGTGGTGTGGCTTTTACTGCATTTCTATAGTGTATTTCATATAATATAGTATATAATTTTGGTATATATTGTTAGATAGGAAAGAAAGGAGTGTACTCTAACACTAACATATTTTAATAGTCATGCTTGACCTCTGCATGAAACTCTTCCATGTAAGCAACAGCTTAAGAATTATGTAAAGGCGACTTGTACACATGCACAAATGCACAAACATACAAACACATCTACACACAACCATACATGCCTACTTCTCACAAGCACTAATATACAAACACTGAAGGCATGGGCAGCCAATGTTCTATGTTTCTTTTGTCATATTTCATATAAATATCTTCGGAAACATTCTGTATCTAAGATTTTAAATTATGGGAATTGCAAAGTGATTTTTATTCTTTGAAGTTGATAAAACATTGCATGGCCCTTGTACAGTGTTCAAATGTCTAGGGCTCAAGATTACCATTCAGACTAACTCTCCAAGGAAGAAGAGAGGTTTCACAGTTGTCTGCCATTACCAGAGTGTGGCGTTTAACACAAGTGGTTTTTACTGTGGCTTAGCACCTCTTCAGCTTTTCCCTTTCCCCATGAAGATGCCCAAGGGGCAGCAATGCTTGCTTGGTTCTGGGAGCTGTGAGGACACTCTACAGAGGTGCCAAGACCAAGCAAGCAGGCCAAAAACCTATTCAGTTTGGCACTGCAATCTTCCTTCCTTCCTTCATTCCATTTCTATAACCACCCAACATATCCAAGCTTACACAGATAACAGATAATCAGAGTTGGAAGGGACCTTGTAGGTCATCTAGTCCAACCCCCTGCCCAAGCAGAAGACCCTACACCATTTCTGACAAATGGCAGTCCATTCTCTTCTTGAAAGTCTCAAGTGATGGTGCTCCCACAACTTCCGAGGGCTAAGCTGTTCCATTGGTTGATTGTTCTCATGGTCAGAAAGTTTCTCCTTATTTCCAGGTTAAATCTCTCCTTGTTCAGTTTCCATCCATTATTCCTTGTCTGGCCTACAGGTGCTTTAGAAAATAGCTTGACTCCTTCCTCTCTGTGGCAGCCCCTCAAATATTGGAAGACTGCTATCATGTCTCCCCTAGTCCTTCTCTTCACTAGATTAGCCATATCCAGTTCCTGTAACCGTTCTTCATATATTTTAGTCTCCAGTCCCCTAATCATCCTGGTTGCTTTTCTCTGTACTTTTTCTAGAGCCTCAACATCTTTTTTATAGTGTGGTGACCAAAAGTGGATGCTGTACTCTAGGTATGATCTTAGTTAGTTAGGCCTTATAGAGTGCTATTAGTACCTCATTTGATTGCATCCCTCTGTTAATGCAACTTCGGATTGCATTAGCTTTTTTGGCGGCTGCACACTGCTGGCTCATATTTAGCTGATTGTCCACTAAGACTCCAAAATCCCTGCTATTGAGCCTGGTTTCACTCAGTCTATATGTGTACCTTTGGTTTTTCTTGCCTAAGTGTAGGACTTTACTTTTCTCTACATTGAATTTCATTTTGTTAGATGCTACCCAGTGTTCTAGTCTTATATAATTAAAACAATCCCCTAAATAAACAAGTATCAACTGTAGACATGATGACACCAACACCAAACTGTTTTCAGGGAAAATGCCAAATGATCAACTTGGTTTTAGAAAAAGCCAAGGAACAGACAGTCATCATTGCTGATGCAACCAGGATATTTGAAAAAACCAAAGTGTGCCCCAAATAAATCAATATATACTTCATTGTACATATTGATTTCAGAGAGGCCTTGATCATATAAAGCTGTGGAATGTCCATAATAAAATAAGAATCCCATAATATCTCATTCTCCTTATGTGACACCTAAGCACAGGTGTGAAATCACAGACAGAATGTTCACAAAACAGACTAACTCCAGGTGGGCAAAGGAGTAACATAAAGTTTTGTAATCTCTCCCTGATTATTAAACACATATGCTGAATATTTATTGAATAAATTGGAGGCTATGGTTTTAAAATTGGAAAATATATTAATAAGCTGTACTATGCTGATGACATTATTCTCATAGCTGAAAATAGAAAAATGAACTCCAAGTTCTAGCAATGAAAGTCAATGGAAAAATTGAAGCTATGTTTCAATACAGTATATAGATCAAAAACTAATTGCAACAAATGAAGTAACCAACATTACAGTAGAAAGAATGGGGAAGGCCCTGAAATGATAGGTAGTTTCTGCCTTTTAGATGCAGACATCAATATAATCCTTTTTAAATACACCACTCTCTAATTAGATTGTCTATTGTGATTAACATATCAGTCTGAGTCAATTTCTTGCAGAATTTATCAGGTGAAACTGTTTCTCCTAGCTACCAGTTACTCATTACAATATTTAGTACAAACATTTCAAAAACCATGCTTTGTCTCACAAAGCTCCCAATGTTCACCACTGAAAAATAGTACTGGTATAATTTTATGTAACTTTTGTAATGTGGAAAACAGTCATTTGAAATGGTAATTAGCACTCCCTTATTGTAACTTTTCAGGTTTATAGTCTGAAGATGGATAAGACAGAATCAAGATAGCTGCTTAAGAATCAGTTACATGTTATGAAATATGCAGATCTGCCACCAATCTAAGCTATCTCCATACTTGACCCTCATAAAACTAAGAAGTGACAATGTCATTTTATTTTTGTTGTCCTTATTAACTGCATGTTGTCAATGCATCTTCCATTTTTGAGGAAGAAGGGGGAGAGTGACATAGTGCAGAACACAGTCCAAGTCTCACAATTATTAAGCTAACATTTTAGATCCAGCTTTGGGTCTAAATATAAAGATATATAAATGGAAATCTTTGATATTTCAGTTCAATAGTACATGTGTTCATTTCCATCTCTTACATGTATACAACGGTTAAACTTTTTTGAAGCAAGCAAGTTGCATACTCATACAGCCCATTATCCTATCTTGGTAAGTTTACTGAGGAGTGATACCACTATATGGCTACCCTACTTCAAGCTCGTAAGATTAAATACTGATCCATAAAAGATATAATTAAGATCTTTTCTTCTGATGTGTGTGCATCTGAGATAGAGAAATAGAGAAAGATGCATCCTATAAAATATGTGGCACCAATTTATCAGCGATCAACTATAGACACTATAAATGCTGAAAACAGTCTTACAAGTCTTAAAATAAAAGCAAGCAATGACTTTTATTTATGCATTTATGACAGCTATTTTACAGAATTCATATGGGATTTTAAACTCATGAATTCATCTGAAATTTAAAAAATAAACTCACAATGAACCAACTAAAAGAAGGGTTATGCATTCGCTTTTTTTAAAGGTCATCTCCTGAGCTCCAGTAATATAATGATGAAGGAGCATCTTTCCAATGAGAATGTATCTTGGTAGATGTAGGAACATCATTTTCTTTTCCTCAACATGAACATAAATCCAGTGCTTGTTCCCATCCTCCAATCTAGTGTTCATCTGCACACAAGCACCTAACTTACTATTTGTGTTGAAAATCTGAAATCCAGAACTGTGCATGATGTACTTACTCACAAAGTCTGTGTGAAATTTCATGAAGTGTGGCTGATCCCCGTACATGTTTAATCATCAATCCATCACCTCACTGGAACAGCAACAGTGCCTCCAGCTTCAAAAATCCTTAAAAATGTTTTCTTCTCATGATCAAACATGACCCAAAGACAGCAGTTTCCAGCAATTCCAGGGTAGAGCAGTCTCCTCAAGTGGAGAAGAAATTATGCGCAAGCAAATCCTTCTTAACCACAAGACAGCAATAGCAGCTGCTGGCTGGCTGGTTAGAAACAGTTGGAGCTGCTTTTCCCTCCTTCCCTCCCTCCCTCCCTCCCTCCCTCCCTTCCTTCTTCTCTTTGCTTGCAGCAAACTTAAAATCTCTTTCAAAGGGAGCTGGATTCTTGCTTTATGATATCCTGATAGCTGAATTCATTAGTGAGAAGACCAATCAGTGTATCACTTTACTGATATAGCTCTCAAATCAAAAGCTGGGGGATTAAGAGTGGGTTGGATATTATTCAGTGTGTTCGTTTTTAGAAAAGTTCAGTGCTTTGTGAAGTCAGTAACAATGACATATAAATAGCTATTTCTGTGCTGATCTCTGTGAGATATAAATTAGATAATATCAATTATCCAATAAGGAGTTTTTAAAATGTAAGATTGAGACATTGATTTGACATTGGCGTAATTTGATAGCTGGTGCTCTCTGTCTAATAACAAAACAACTGCAATTAACAAGTAAACCCTTTCCATTGCAATTTGCATCTGCATGCTTACAAGTGGCAGACCTGTTGAATTTGTTGATTAATTAGGTACCTTCAAGTTGGTGTTGATTCTTAGCAATCACTTAGATCTTCTTCAGACTGATTTGTCCACAACCTTGTCTCTCAACAATGCACTCCTCACCACTAAAATCAGGTTAGGACATCAAAGTGATTCCTTGAAAATGGTGAATATATGTTCAGGACCATATCATGCAAACTGGTTAGTCTCTTCTTCCACTTTACCTTAACCTAGAACTTGCAAAACATGGTGAGTACCATCCAACCTGAGGAACCTAGCATATGACACTGCATCATCAATCACTTTACCTTGTTTAGCCATGTGGTTTCTTTGTAAAACACAAGAGTGGTTTACAATTTGCTCCACCCACACAACGGAAATTGATGCCTTTGCTATTGTCATACTTCTGCTGCCCAAGACTGGTTTCTTCTTGCTTTAGTTGAGTAACTGGGGCCAGATATTTATTTATTTTATTAGTTTATAATATTCAATATAAAAATACAAAAGCAAATAATAAGAAAAATAGCGAAGGGAAAAGGGAATGAAAAAGTGTAGAAAAGAAGGGAAAAAGAAAGAAAAGGCATTGACTTCCAACTCCCTTTGGTGCAGTAGAATAAGATCAAAACTCAACTTTTTACTTTTATATAATAGTATAAACTAGCCATTTCTATAACAATAAACCTATCTAATCGGTATAGCCCAAAATCAAAGTTTCATTTTTTTCCACCTCAAGCACAAAGTCCAGAAGCCGTTTCCAAGTAGAAACAAAAGTAGATATATTTTTTTCTTTAATCAAAGCAGTCAAATTTAGCCATTTCTGCAGACTTCATCAACATTTGCAACCATTTGTCCATTGTGAGAATCAAAGTGTCTTTTCATTTTTGTGCATTAAAGTAATCTTGCTGCCATCAATATACACAACATCAAAGTTCCATTTTTTCTCCAAGTCTTTTTCCATTAAACCCCAAAAAGAGGTTTTGGTTTTATCTTTATATTCACTTTAAGAGTCTTCTGTATTAGTATATGAATCTTACTCCAATATTTCTTTCCTTTATCACATATCCACCATAAATGATAAAAAGTCCTTTCTTTAAATTTGCATTTCCAAGATTCATTTGAAATATCTTTATACATTATTGACAACTTGTCTGATGTTAAATACTTGACAATTTGTCAGATTTTCTATCCAAGGAAACTTTTGTAGAAAAAAAATGGTGGAGAAGCCAGACTGGGGGACTTATAATCAAATAATACTTTTACATTTTTGTGATCCTATCCTCAAGTGTAAGAAGGACATCTGTCATTGGTTTATATATTTACAACTACTCCAACCCCTTGTTCAAGATAGGAATTTTCATACCAGCATACCATCTGAAGTCCAATATTTTATTGAAAACCTCCAGTGATGGGACACCCAGGCAGACTGTTCCACTGCTTAGTAGCTGTCACAGTGAAGAGAGTTCTCCTTATTTTAAATTTGGATGTTTTTCTGATAAGCTTCTACATATTGGTTTTTAGCCTACCCTTGAAAGCCATGGAGAATAAATCTGCATCTTCTTCCCTGTGAAAACCCAACAATTATTTTAAAAATTGCTATCATATCTTCCCACATCCTTTTCTTTAAGCTAACTTTAAGATTATGTAAGATTTTGCTTTCAAGTTCTCTACCATCATTTTTGTTCTTCTTGGCACTCTTTCTTTTTGCAGAAAGTGGTTTGCCATTACTTCTTTCAGGATATTTTAGATTTTCCTGTCAGTCCATGGCCCTAGATTTCCTGATAGCCCCTCCTCCATTCAATTGCCCAGCACGTCCAGGGGTGGGATTCTATCAGTTTGCACCTATTTGCTAGAACCGGTTGTTAACATTCTAAGCAGTTTGGAGAACTGGTTGTTAGAAGAAATTACTGGCCTAATCCTGTAAGGAAGGCAGGAAGGAAACATTCTGGTGTTGCTTATAGAAACTGCCTCTCAGTTAATCCTTATTACATTCTTGGCAGGACTAGACTTCCTGTCACAGGAACGTCTCTGGAGTTTTTTCCCCCTCCTTTGCTGGTACTTTGCTTGTGTGGAGTGACCATTCAAAGTTACAATGGCACTGAAAAAAGTGGCTTATGACCATTTTTCACACTTACAACTGTTGCAGCATCTCCACAGTCATGAGAGGCCAGGTGAGGAGATACGTGCCTCGATGTGAGTGATATTGAGTTGGCCACACCCAGCCAATAACACGACCACCAAGCCATGTCCACCCAGTCACATGACCACCAAGCCACACCCATCACCTAAGCCACATCCACAGAACCGGTTGTTAAAAAATTTGAATCCCACCCCTGAGCACGCCCATAGTTGACACTTCCTGGGTAAAAGGATATATTAAATACTATGTCCTTGATTATTTAGAAGAGCATCACTTAAAGGAAAGTGCTACTGTGCTACATGCTTGTGCCACTGAATTTGTTGTGAAAGCACAGAAACAAAATATAAGTGGGATAATAGATGCAGTCTGGGATTTATATGTCTGTTTTCACAGTTTGATTTCAGAGGAGCCTGCTTTTTCCTTCCACTTAACACACTTAGAATGTGGGTATTAAAGATGTACCTGCTGGGAACATTAATGAAATTAACCCCAGAAACCTAAGCAACCAATTTGATTACCAAGAGTGATATGTTAAACCATGACATCCTAAGAACACATGCAGAATACATTTGTCTCTGAGTACCCATCTGCTAAAGCATATCTTTACTAATAGAGCTCTTCCTATTTTACTCATCCTAGCTTAGAACAAAACTCTCAGGTATAAGTATTTAAATAAAATAACATGCTAGAGAGGTGTTAAACATTTCCTACCTTAGAAAATGTACTTCCAGAGCAATCTGTCCCCAGAAAGCAAACCAATTTACAGACTATTTAAACCTCCAAAGATCTTGAGTTATAATGCTAAGACCTTAATGAGACTGAACATTAATGAGTAGGGTCATTAAGTCATCTTAGACCGACTTAAGAATCTTCAACAGATGTACTTTATTGTAGGCACAGCTGCCTTTTTTTCCTTGAAAATTATCAGTCACTTTTGACATAGAGCAGGCAAAAAAGAAGGTAGCTTAATTGTTTTGTTTACTTGTGTTAGCAAAGTTTTCATTGCCTAGGACTGCTGTAACTCTACAGTGAGTCATAACAATGTTAGGATTCATTTTAGGACTCATATTATTATCTTAACATATTGCAATCACATAAAAATGAGGGTGAAAGAATGAAAACATTGGCCTGAAACTTAAAATTAAAAAACTATCATGGCATCCGGTCCCATCACTTCCTGGCCAATAGAAGTGGGGGTGGGGAATGGAAGCAGTGACAGATTTTATTTTACAGCATACAGAACAACAGAGTTGGAGGTCTTTTAGTCTAACCTCCTTCTCAAGTAGGAGAACCTATATAATTTTTGACAAATGGCTTCTTAAAGATCTCCAGTGGTATAACACATACAGCTTCTGAAGGCAAGCCTTTTCACTAGTTAATTATTCTCACCGTTAGGCAATGTATCCTTAGTTCTAGGTTGCTTCTCTCCTGAATTAGTTTCCATCAATTGCTTCTTGTCCTGCCTTCAGGTGCTTTGGAGAATAGCTTGACTCCCTCTTCTTTGTGGCAGCCCCTGAAATATTGGAACACTGCTATCCTGTCACCCCTGCTCCTTATTTTCACTACATTAGATGTACCCAATTCCTGAAACCATTTTTCATATGTTTTAGTCTTCAATCCCCTAATCATCTTTGTTGCTCTTCTATATGCTCTTTCTGGAGGCTTTTTTGGGGGTTCTGAGATCACTGTAGATAGTGACTGCAGCCATGAAATAAAAGACACTTGCTCCTTGGGAGGAAAACTATGGCAAACGTAGACTCATATTAAAAAGCAGGTACAAAACCTTGATGACAAAGGTCTGTATAGTTAAACCTATGGTTTTCCCAATAGTAATAAATGGCTCTGAGAGTTGGACCATAAGAAAGACTGATCACCAAAGAACTTTGATTGTTCTTTGGAAAGACAAATACTGAAGCTGAAGTTCAAATAGTTTGGTCACCAGAGGAGAAGAGAGAACTCATTGGAAAAGATCCCGATGTTGGGAAAAATTGAATGCAAAAGGAGAAGGGGACGGCTAAGGATGAGATGTTAGATAGTGTCATCAACACAATGGGCAGACTCCAGGAGACAGGGGAGGATGTGGTGGTGGGGGCATGCTGTGGTCCATAGAGTTGCAAAGTGTCAGACATGACTTAGTGACTGAACAACGACAAAAGATATGAATCTTAATATGAGTGGCCTAACTTTTGTTTGAGATGTTTTCGGTTGGAGGCATTAGAAACTTTGAAATTTTGGTTGCAAATCATAGGCACCAATGTTTCAATTATAATATACGATAATGCTGGCTCCATTTTTATCACTCATTTGCAAACAATGA